CACACACACACACACACACACACACACACACACACACACACACACACTTTCTCACTCTCCCTCCTTCCCTTCCTCTTAGCTTGAGCCATCTTTCAGTTTAAGATAGCTAGGTACTAGCCAGGCGTGGTAACACACATGTAAGGGAGGTAAGGAGAGGGTAGCAGGCAGGAGGATCATGAGTTCAAGACAGGTATGGGTAATTTAACAGGATTTCATCTCAGAAGTCGTGGGGGCTGCTGGTAAAACCCAGCCCACAAAGTTAGACGAGGTATGTGAAAGATTGTTTGGATTGAGTGAGTCTCTAAGTGGTAGCTAGGGCTATTATCAGGATAGTTTTCAGGCAGGGTGAAGGAGAGAGAGAGAGAGAGAGAGAGAGAGAGAGAGAGAGAGAGAGAGGGAGAGGGAGAGAGGGAGGGACAGAGAACCATAGTTAACCCACCCCCAGCCCTCCTCTGACTGAAACCTTGGTTTAGCCTGTGAAAGCAAAGCTAATAATACTACCCAATAAACACATGTGCTTAGGAGTCAGTCTGGGGTAAGGCTGCGTCTGCTTGGGAGATTGGTTCTGACATCACACTTTCAACTCATGGCTGGCAATCAGTTCCATGCTCTATTGTTGCTTGCTTTGGAAAGAGCAAGCCTGAATCTAAGCTTTTCCCTGGTTAAACTGCTTCTGCCGAGTCCCGTGGTGTTGATTGTAGGTCTCACATTCTGCAGCTGCTTGTGTCATTCTTGACTCACCTCTAGGAAACACAGACATTTCCAACGTTGCTTTTTCCCGCTCCTGTCCCTTTGTGTGTCCTGGGAAGTAGCCAGGGCACACAGCATCTTTTCTGCTTTATTGTCCTAAAACCTTATTAATTCCCTTTAGAATCTTCCAGAAAAGAGGCAAGCGCCTTCAGAGGAGCATCTGTGTGTGACCTTGGTTGTTCTTCCTGAGACAGGACAAAGGACAATAATAAGTGCTCTGGAGGCTGTCGGGAGCCCGAGCAGACAAAAACAGAGAACACCTGGTGTGTGGCAAGTGGCCAATAGACATAATCGCTCTTAGTATTTTAATTAATAATAACACGGAAAACACTCAGAACAAAATGACATTTGAACCCAGTCCTGAAAAGATTGGTTTATACTTAATAGTGAAGAGGCTACCCATCTATATTTCCCATCAGACTTGGAGGGAGAAACAAGTGTTAGTATATGTAAAAATCTAAATCTTGATGCCGTAGATGAAGGACATTTCAGTAAATCGAAAGCTACTGAACAAGACAATCCGAGCTGACCTCTGCCTGTGCAGCTGTTATTATTGCTATTTAATTGAACAGATGTCACCCCATAACATATTGCCAGGGCCTTAGAAGCCATTGAGGATGAACCTCTGCCTCATGGAAGACTTTGGCTTTCAACTCCCAATTCCCTGGTAACGCTAGGAAGGAAAACATCACAGGTGCCATCTCCCACAACCACTTAAGCCTGAATGAAAGAAAACAAAACCCAGCAAGAGCAAAACCTTTGGCCCTGAATGGAGGGGACAAGCCATTCTGTAAGATGAGATCATAACATACTATTATCTCTTCCCTTAAGAGTTAATCCAGCTGGGCCTCTCATCCAGAAGACCACTCCTTGGGAAATATGATAGACCTGAAGAAGTGTTATGGGGATGGGAGGAATAATTATCCCCTTAATGAGACAATGTACTTGTGCCTCCCAGAAGCCCCTCCCCCAGGGAACTAGTTTGCAGATCTTCCCCGCAGGCTCTGCTTGGTCTGAGTTCTAAATTCAAAAGGCATAGTTTCCCCTCTGTTTCTCTGCCTTTTCCCAGGAGCCCAATGTGTGTTTTCCTTTCTAAGCATTCCCTGACTCTCTGGACTTGCTCACTGTCCTCCGAAGCCCTGTGCGGCCGGTCTCTGCTGCTGAACACCCTGGTTTTCTTAAACACTAACTCAAAAGTTGGCTCTTTTTTCCTCTTCATCTCTCTCCTCCTAGCAGCTACCAAGATTTACAGCTTGCTCCCTATCCAGCCTTCTGTTTTTTTTCCAAAGGCTAATAAAAAGGTCTTTGACCTCCCTTCTGAGTCTTTTTTAAAAGTCGTTTATTAATGAGACTAAGAACGCCAAAGGGGACTTAATTTCCCTGGTAGCAATGTTGAAGACGGTGCCACTTTCTACTGTTTCATGATGATGTGGAAGGCAAGTTCTCCTCCACAGCTTCCAGCACCCAACGCCACCGGTTTCTGGACCGGAAGATGGCAGGTAAGCAGGAGCTCTCAGGGCAAGTCAGATACGCCCTCTTCCTGTCAATCACGACGCTGAGACCTATTCTTAGACTCTCAATTCTTTCGGACCTTATTGAAACAGTCATACCCATGTTGTTTTCCATCCCTGGCACACTTTGTGAGGGTAACTTTGGTTTCTGTTTGCAGATTAAGCTTTTCTGGAGGAGATGGTTCACAGGGAAGTGCTGAGAATCAGTAGCCATTCTACAGGGAACTAAAGGGATGGATGAAGATTTGGGGGGTGCAGGGATGAGAAGAAGGACAGCCATTTTAAAACTCTCCTTTCAGAGGAAGTTGACAGGACCATGTTATGTCCTTAATACAGCTTTGTTGTCCTCTCTCCTGTTTGCAGGCAACGGTTGCACTGATGGAGTCCAAATAGAGATTTCTCCCTTATTCTTCTGCAGCCATGAAGGAACACTGGGGGTAATTTATGTGAAATGCATCATGAAGCAAGCCTGTGTCTGTGTGAGCATTCAAGAGTGTCCATCATATATCTAGATGGCATAATTCACTTCATACCTAGGCTTCAGTGTGTGTGTGTGTGTGATATTACCTATTGCTCTTACTGCCACAATGAGGAAAAATAGCATGAGATTAAATCAAAACACACACACACACACACACACACACACACACACACACACACACACACACA